TGCCATTAATCACAAAAATGTCCACACCTCCAAAACAATGACAGTAGCAGATGGCTGCTGGACCAATCACTGATTTACTTGTTCAATCTCATCCATCAAACTAACCCACAAATGACAGATGCATTAGAAGAGATGTCCATAAAAGATTAATGTTGAAGCTCAAAAGGATCCAAATGAAACAGATCATGTCCAAAATCCCTTAGGGAAAAATCTTTGAAACTTCAAAGAACAGAAAATGCATGTTAACAATGCCTAGCTGACTTTAAGTCCAATATCATCACTGACTGCAAAGAGACATTTGGATTTTCTGTCAGGAAATCAGGCAGATTTGGTTTGCTGAAGAATGATTAGGATATTAATGAACTCATTGATCACCAGTGCAAGACTTTCAGTGCCTGGCAGAATGACTCGATTTCAAAGTCAAAAAACTGGCTTATTAATAAACAAAGGGAGAGGTATAAAGGAAAACCAAATCATGAAGAGCCAGTGGTCATGAGCAAGGCATAAGAATTTCAACATTTCACTGACATGAATGATGTCTGTTGCTTCGTCACCACTATAAAAACCACTTTATGACTCAACTGTTAAAGGACCAGCTCCTCCGAGGTGTGAAGACGATAGAAATCAGATTGTGGAAAAGGAAGTTATTAATGCTCATTGAGGAAGCATTTAAGATCTTTTGATCAATAATCCATTTTGCCGAGAATGTTTTCAATTCCAATCCATTATATCCAGTTACAGAAGAGCTTGGAACTCCCCCACACCTATGAAGGTGATGAAAACCATTACAGAAAGGAAGAACAACGAAACAGCAGGATGTGGTGGAATCACCATGGAAATCTTAAAGCCTCAAGGAAAGGAACTGACATTATAGTTGCACATGCCTTTCCTACAGGCCTGGAAAGGAGGAAGAGGAAGTCTCCAATGATCTCAAGTACACCAGGATTGTAACAAGTATCAAGGAAAGGGACAAATCCACCTGTGGAAATTACAGGAGCATGTAATTGACTCATAGAGTCACACAGCTATACAGCATGGAAACAGGTCCTTCAGTCCAACTCGTCCATGATGACCAGATATCCTAAGTTAATCAGGTCCCATTTGCCAGTGTTTGGCCCATATCCCTCTAAGCCTGTCCTATCAAAAACCGATCCAGATGCCGATCAAATGTTGTAGTTGTACCAGCCTCCACCACTTCCTCTAGCAGCTCATTCCACACACGCACCACCCTCTGTGTGAAAAAGTTACCCCTTAGGTCCCTTTTAAATATTTCCCCTCTCACCTTAAACCTATGCCTTATAGCTTTGGACTCCCCCACTCTTGGGAAAAGACCTCGGCTATTCACCCTATCCATGCCTCTCATGATTTTATACACCTCTAAAAGGTCACCCCTCAGCCTCCGATGCTCCAGGGAAAATAGCCCCAGCCTATTCAGCCTTTCCCTATAGCTCAAACCCTCCAATGCTGGCAACATCCTTGTAAATCTTTTCTGAACCCTTTCATATTTCACAACATTGTTCCTATAGTAGAGAGACCAGAACTGCACACAGTTTTCCGAAAGTGGCCTAACCAATGTCCTGTACAGCTGTAAGATGATCTCCCAACTCCTATACACAATGACACAAAAACAAAGTTGCTGGAAAAGCTCAGCAGGTCTGGCAGCATCTGTGAAGGAAAAAACAGAGTTAACGTTTTGGGTGCGGTGACTCTCCCTCAGAACTGGTGGTGGTAGGAAAACGTCAGTTTATACTCATTGCACTGACCAATAAAGGCAAGTGTACCAAACGCCTTCTACACTATCCTGTCTACTTGGGATTCCATTTTCAAGGAAGTATGAATCTGCACCCCATGGTCTTTTCGTTCAGCAAGACTCCCCAGGACTTTACCATTTAGTGTCTAAGTTCTGCCCTGATTTGCCTTTCCAAAATGCAGCACCTCACATTTATTTAAATTAAACTGCATCTGTCACTCCTTGGCCCATCTGATCAAGATTCTGTTGTACTCTGAGGTAACCTTTTCTGCTGTCCACTACACCTCTAATTTTGGTGTCATTTGCAGATTTACTGACCATACCTCTCATGTTCACACCTAAATCATTTATGTAAATGATGAAAAGCATTGGACCTAGCACTGATCCTTGTGGCACAGTCCTCCACTCTGAAAAGTTTTGCTGTCCATCACAGGAAAGATATTTACAAGAACCTTTCTGAAGCCCTTCACGTTATACTTTCCAAAGTACACCTCAATATTGACCTAGATATCAGAAAGACAACAATATACCCAATCATCCTCAATCTCAATATTGGTTGAGAACATCAAGAGGTGCAGCCAACACAATTTTCATAACTTATCAACTACAAGAAAAAAAGTTGAAAATAAAATCAGATGCTTCACATTGCATTTCTTGACTTGAAAGTATTTGATTCTGCAAATCACTGAAGATTCTACTGAAGTAATCCTCCAAAATTCATCACAATTCCTTATCTACTTTGATATGTTAGCAGTGAACCTTAGCAATGGGTATTCAATCTCCTCCCAGACGACAAATACTGTTTGAAATGTAATGTTTCTGTTTTAAGTGTCAGCTCTCACCTCCCCTTAATTTGATGGTTTTCCAAAGCCCTAGATCCACAAGTAATATAATTGGCCACCAGTTCAATACTTGAAAACATGCGTTCTGATCTCTGCACAAAGTCAAGTCCCAGGTTGACGCTTGACATTGAATACCGGTTTTCTGGCTGACCTCATAATGTACCATGCTTTTTAACGTGTAGCTACAGCAGTTCTTCCCTGTAACTCTATATCTTTAGTTGACAGATCAGTTGAAGCTTTGGATGCCCTTTCTTTCTCCCCAACTGGAATATATTTGCTCTATATCCAAACCATCACCACTGTAAACTGCGTCTTTTATTAAGTCATGTTTTGACTGCCAGTGTTTGATTCCAGTCCACCTGGGCAGGAACCACTTTCAACTCACTGAAATTTACTTTCCTTCAGTTAAGCATTTAAATGCTTGATTATATTTATCCTTTTCCATGATATTACCATTTCCCAAGTGGTCTTACAAATAAACATGTTATGCTCCCCCTTTTTCATTTCTCAGAATTAGGTAAAACACTGGTCCCTTTCTTGATGAGCTGAAAATACATCGCAAAGAAAATTGTCTTGTATATATTTCAGGATTTCCTCCCTGCTTGGGCCTGTCATGGCCAGATGGGGGAAATAGTCTGAAAGGTTAATGGAATGCTGCTAATATGCCAGAATACTAAATGGTCACCGAAGGTTAAATTATGAGGAGAGTGTATCTATTCTCTTGACTTTAGAAATTTAAAGTTTTCAAGATACTACAGGAAAGTGCTGGGTAGATAGAATGTACCTATTTCAGCTGGTTGGGGAATTTAAGACTGGTCTTTCAGAAGTGTCGTTAGGAAATAGTTTTATTTGTGTAGAAGGGTCAAACTCTCTTGGGCTGTTGATACTAGATCATTCATTAATTGTAAAACTGAGACTGATGGATTTTTGTTAATCTAAGATTTAAAAAATACAGCGTGTAACCAGAAATATGGAATTACATTAGAGATCAGCCAAAATCTCATTGAAGGGCAGAACTTGTTTGGGGGGTGCAAAATGGTTGTTCATATTCCAGTGATCTTTGCTCCTAACTCTGCTGTTACTAGCACAATATATATAAATAATTGAAGATGTGCACTGGCATTATTACAACTTGCTATTGTTACAACTTTCTGTAAAATGCGTGCAAAATAGTTTGTCTACCTGCTTCCCAATCATTGGTGGCCGACAGTATATACTCAGTGGTGAAATAGCTCTTCTATTAATTTTAACTGAATGTGCTTTGTGTTTGGCCCTTCAACTACATCTCTTTGGTGCTACAATAATTTCCTTGATCAATACTGCAAAACCGCTCATTTTTTCTTTTCCCCAATGTTTCCTAAATACTTCATTGGCAGGAACAGTAAGTTCATAATCCTTCCATTCTTTGAATCATTACAGCCTGTAGGTATTGATGCGTCCCCGGGTACATGCTGCAAATATTTGTTCAGTCATAGGGGTACCCTGAAAATACTGTCAATATTCACAGAATTCCAAAAATACTGTCCAAATATTGACGCACCCTAGGCACTTCTTAAAAATATATGCATTCACCTAGGAACTGCCTGCAAATAACTCCAGGAATATCCAAAAACCAGTGGCATGCTTCCTCGAACAACCTCCTAGTACTGACACTCTTTGAGGCACACCCAGCAGATACTGATGCATTTCCTGGTATACCTAGTAATCCCTGATATATACTCAATAAAGATTTGCAATGGCTCCTATGTAACTTTGCAAAGATAATTGTAGCCATGCAAAAGAAAATAATGTTATTAGTGCAGAATGGATCTTTTAATTAGTGAAAAGTAACAGAACATCTTGGTAAAGTCAAGGAATATAGAATGTGTGTGGACTGAGTGCAGGTTGTATTTTGCCTGGTGACACATTTTCAAATGTGTGTCCTCCCTACCTCCAGGTCTCTTCTTCCTGCAGTCTGAAAAATTATGATCTATGTACTACTACCAGTTCTTGTTTTATATAACTCAACATTGGCACTTATCACTATTCAGTCCCATATTTTGTGTATTTGCACTTCTCTGCCCTGTCTGCCAAATGCCAGCGATATTTCATTGACTAGATGCAACCAATTTGATTTGCACAACTGACTTTTAATTTCCTGTTGCACCTCCTTCCTACTCCTCCCCGAAGAAGATAAACCTTTGAAAGTTTCTGCAACATTATTACCTAACCAAAGGGCTTTGTTTCTCACATTGATCATTTGTTTTTGTTTGTTATCCTAATATTGATATCTTAGGATCAACAAATTTTCACAGAACTTTGAATATTTTATAGCACACCCCACCTTCCTGTTATCTGTTTTGTTTTAATTTAGTAATAAGCTCAAAGTTAGTAAAGTGAAAGACAAAACATGATGGCTCACATATTACCTTTCGAGCCTTTGCATTGTCAAGGCTAAAGTCTTGTTGAGTTCTTCTATCACTTTACTAGTAGATACTGCTGGATGGGTAGGTAGTCCACCGGTTAACAATGAAGAATGGGAGCCTCCAAATAACTGCTGGTGCTGATTAGCGGCAAGCTGGGAAGGCAATAACTGATGCTGTGCGGAAGATTGCTGGGAGATTTTCTGCACGACAGAATAGGACATGGGTGGAGAGTCTGCAGTCTGTGGTGGAATGCAAATCATCACTTTCTTTGGAGGTAGAGGGGGTGATAGCCTCACAGGTGGCATACAAGGCAGCTTCACAGGCTGGCCAGTGTCTGATTAAGAAAAATAAAACATATTAAATACACTCGGCAAATAACTCAGCAGCCATTTAGTCATTTTCTACTTTCCCCTGCTGTTTCCTCATTGACCTTGATTGATTTGAAAAAAGATAGCAATTCATTCTGTGACAACAAGGTGCAGGGCTGGATGAACACAGCAGGCCAAGCAGCATCATAGGAGCAGAGAGGCTGACGTTTCGGGCCTAGACCCTTCATCAGAAAAGGGGGAGGGGAAGGGGGTTTTGAAATAAATAGGGAGAGAGTGGGAGGCGGATAGAAGAGGGATAGAGGAGAGGATAGGTGGAGAAGAAACAAACAGGTCGAAGAGGCGGGGATGGGGCCAGGAAAGGTGAGTGTAGGTAGGGAGTTAGGAAGGGGATAGGTCAGTCCAGGGAGGACGGACAGGTCAAGGGGGCGGGATGAGGTTGGTCGGTAGGAGATGGAGGTGCGGCTTGAGGTGGGAGGAGGGGATAGGTGGGAGGAAGAACAGGTTAGGGAGGCAGGGACGAGCTGGACTGGTTTTGGGATGCGGTGGGGGGAGGGGAGATTTTGAAACTTGTGAAATCCACATTGATACCATTGGGCTGCAGGGTTCCCAAGCGGAATATGAGTTGCTGTTCCTGCAACCTTCGGGTGGCATCGTTGTGGCACTGCAGGAGGCCCAGGATGGACATGTCGTCTGAGGAATGGGAGGGGGAGTTGAAATGGTTCGCGACTGGGAGGTGCAGTTGTTTGTTGCGAACCGAGCGTAGGTGTTCTGCAAAGCGGTCCCCGAGTCTCCGCTTGGTTTCCCCGATGTAGAGGAAGCCACACCGGGTACAGCGGATGCAGTATACCACATTGGCAGATGTGCAGGTGAACATCTGCTTGATGTGGAAAGTCTTCTTGGGGCCTGGGATGGGGGTGAGGGAGGAGGTATGGGGGCAGGTGTAGCACTTCCTGCGGTTGCAGGGAGAAGTGCCGGGTGTGGTGGAGCTGGAGGGGAGTGTGGAGCGGACGAGGGAGTCACGGAGAGAGTTGTCCCTCCAGAAAGCAGATAAAGGTGGGGAGGGAAAGATGTCTTTGGTGGTGGGGTCGGATTGCAGATGGCGGAAGTGTCGGAGGATGATGCGTTGGATCCGGAGGTTGGTGGGGTGGTACGTGAGGACGAGGGGGATTCTTTTTTGGTTTTTATTGCGTGGACGGGGTGTGAGGGATGAGGTGCGGGAGATGTGGGAGACACGGTTGAGGGCGTTCTCGACCACCGAGGAGGGGAAGTTACGGTCCTTGAAAAACGAGGACAACTGAGATGTACGGGAGTGGAATGCCTCATCCTGGGAGCAGATGCGGCGGAGGTGAAGGAATTGGGAATAGGGGATAGCATTTTTGCAGGAAGGTGGGTGGGAGGAGGAGTATTCTAGGTAGCTGTGGGAGTCGGTGGGCTTGAAATGAATATCGGTTTCTAGGTGGTTGCCCGATATGGAGACAGAGAGGTCCAGGAAGGGGAGAGAGGTGTTAGAGATGGTCCAGGTAAACTTAAGGTTGGGGTGGAAGGTGTTAGTGAAGTGTATGAACTGTTCGAGCTCCTCGTGGGAGCACGAGGCGGCGCCGATACAGTCATCAATGTAACGGAGGAAGAGGTGGGGTTTAGGGCCGGTGTAGGGATTGTTCCACGTAACCTACAAAGAGGCAGGCGTAGCTTGGGCCCATGCGGGTACCCATGGCTACCCCCTTTGTCTGTAGGAAGTGGGAGGAATTGAAAGAGAAGTTGTTGAGTGTGAGGACGAGTTCGGCTAAGCAGATGAGGGTGTCAGTGGAGGGGGACTGGTCGGGCCTGCGGGACAGGAAGAAGCGGAGGGCCTTAAGGCCATCTGCATGGGGAATGCAGGTGTAGAGGGACTGGACGTCCATGGTAAATTATCAGAAGAGGTTAACATAGAGAGTGGAAGCACATAAGAACATGAGGTGTAGGCCATTTAGCCCTTTAGGCCTGCTTGCCATCCTAAAGGATGATAGCTGATCAGCCATCAACTCTTCTTTTGTGCCATTGCCTCAAAGCCTTTAACTCCTTGATATTAAAAAAAACTATTTACATCCTCTTTAAATATCTTCAATGATTTAGCTTCCACAGTTCTCTGCAGTAGAGAATTCCAGATGTTCACTTGTGCCCTCCCACTCCCCCCCCTTATTCTACAATGATGTGCCTTTGTTCAAGATTCCTCCACTAGTGGAAACATCTTCTCAATATTTACTCCATCACGCCCCCTCAGAGTCTTGTATGATTCAACAAGATCACCCTTCATTCTCCTAAGCTGTAATAAATAAAGTCTGAGCCTGTTTATCCATTATTTGCTAAATCAATCTCTTCATCTTAGGAATCAACTCAATCTCTTTTGAACTGCTTCTAAATGTCACTACATTCTTTCTTAAATACAGGGTCCAAAACCGTATTACAGTACTGTACACTGGTAGTAGCAATTCGAGCACCTATAAAAGTGAATAATTCCTTAGCCCTGGATGAGATGTAACCCAGATATTCAGGGAGACAAACCAGGAGATATCAAAGGCCTAGCAGTAATTTTCATTCTTTCTGGTCACAAGTGAGGTCCAAGAAGACTGGAGCATCACAAATTCAAATTCAGTAGGTAGAGAAGGCAAATATTGATTCTTGTTTCAAAGGGAATGCAGCATAAAAATAGGCCTTGCTAAAACTATACAAGACACTAGTCACACCACAACTGGAATACTGTGAATAGTTTTAAGTCCCTTATCTAAGGAAATATATACTGGCATTTTAGGTAATATAGAGCAGATTTGTCCACTAGGTTCATCCTGGGTATGGAGAGACCCTCTTATAAAGAGAGTTCATAGAATCCCTACAGGTGGAAGCAGGCTATTCAGCCCATCGAGTCCAATACTGAACCTCTGCAGAGCATCCCACCCAGACCTTCCCCATCTCTGTAACCCTTTATTTCCCACGGACAATCCGTGCAGGATATTATGCACCTCCCTGCACACTATGGGCAATTTAGCACAGCCAATCCACATAACCTGCACAACTTTGGACTGCGGGAAGAAACCTGAGTATCTGCAGGAAACCCACATAGACATGGGGAGAATGTGTAAATTCCACACAGACTCTTGCCTGAGGCTGGAATTTAACCTGTAAGCCCAGCACTGTAAGGCAGCAGTGCTAACCACCGAGCCACTGTACCACCCAGAGAGGTTGAGTAGGTTAGGCCTCTACTTATTGGAGTTTCGAAGTCTGAGAGGCAACTGTATTGAAACATATAAGATACTTTGGGGACTTGCCTGGGTAGATGTGGAAAGGTTGTTTTCTCTTGTGTGAAAGTCTAGGATCAGAGGCCAGGGCATAATCTCAGAATAAAGGGGTCGCACATTTAAGATAGAGACGAGGAAGAGGTTCTCTCAGAGTGTTGTAATGCTGTGAAATTCTTTACTGCAAAGGGCTGTAGACGCTGGGTCATTAAGTACATTCAAGGCTGAGATAGATAGACATTTTTTAATCAGTAAGGGAATCAAGGGCAATGGAGAAAAAGCAGAAACGACGTGTTGAGGATCATCAGATCAGCCACGATCTCACTGAACAGTGAATTAGGTTGCTCACAATGTGGTCTCCTTTACATTGGAGAAACAAAGCACTGTACAGGATGGGCTGAAGAAGTAAACTTATCGATGGTATTTGACAGCTGCATGACCTTGAACAAGTCCTGTGAACATTCCTACACACGCTGAAGCCGGCACAACCAACGTGTTTTTCTGTGCCTTACAGTTTCTTACACTGTATAAGAGAGAGATTTCATTCCAAGTCATTGGATTTCACCTCGGACCAGAATCGTGAACGGTGCCAGGAACAAGTTCAGCCTCCAGATCAGCTGTCGATCGAGGGGTCCCTGATGGCAGAAGAGCGTGAGGCTTATTGTTTTCTTCCTCTCCTTTTCATTCCTTTTATTTACTTAATAAATGTTCCATTCTTTTATTGTCTTTTAATATTACTCAATAAATGTTCATATTTAAGCAAATTGCTGTTGTTGAGCCTTCTCTTAACTACATTTAACTGAATCCGAAAAGAACCGCTTTGATACACTCTATGATCCAAGACAAGCGCAGACTGGGTGATTGATTTGTAGAATACCTCCATTCTCTCGGCAAAAATGGCCCTGAGCTTCCAGGTGCCTGCCACTTCAACACATCACCATGTTCCCTGGCTAACATTTCAATCTCAGGCTTGTTGCTGTGCTCCAGCGAAGCTCAGCGCGAGCTGGAAGAACAACACTTCATTTTCCGCTTGGGAACTCTGCAGTCTTTGGACTTAATATTGAGTTCTGCAATTTAGGGCTTTAGGCCATGCTCTTACTCCAACATCCACATACCAGGCCTTGTTATCACATGGGCTGCTACCACACACTACCCATTGTCAGCTATTAAAAGCACCCTTTAACAGCTATTCATTTCCCCAGATTGACTTTTAACCACTCCTTTGTCAGTCCAACTGGTTTTCTCTCTCTTTGTGCTCTATCTTTGATCAAAGATAGTGGCGAAGTAAGACTGCTGAGGTGGAGCTCGTCCGCGTCCAATTCTTTTCCCTTTTTTTTCTTTTCATTCTTTTGTTCTTTTTTCTCCTTATCTCCCATCCTCGGGCAGCATCTGCGATGTCTGGGGTGAAGCCAGTGCATTCTCCCAGCCTTGAGGTGAATCGAGAGTGGACTCCCATTCTTGAGGTGAAACCGGTGTAGACCCCTGCCCTCAAGAGCCTCAAGGTGAGGCCCGGTATGGTCTGGAAGTGAGGTCCCAATGTGGAGTGGAGACAAGGCCCGGAGTCGTCTGCTCCATCTTCACTGTTTGGAAGGACTATAATTCTGAACTTCTTATTTCTTTATTTTTCTAATTTATTTCTAAGATTTAGTACCTAGATGCCTTTTGTAAATAAAACGGCACCATAAGTGGTGGCTTTGTAAACTTTTCAGTGTATCATGTGAGAACATGTGAAATAA